ATCAAGGTTTAGGGTTTGCACGGCGCACCCAGCTGCCCGATATCGCTTCTCAAGTGCGATCCGAACGATCTCACGCGATCGCCGCCGAGAGAGGACCTGGCCACATGCACCACACTGTTTGTACGACGTTTGATCGGCGCGAACAACTTCGACAACCAGCCATATACAATGCGCACTTCGCACCGCAATTCTAGCGTCGAACTGATTTCACCAAACGTTCTGTCGAGGTTCTATTTTCTGATCGGCGGATATCACCAGCACCATCAGTCGCGACGGTCCTGTGCCTTCTTGGAAACTGATCCGGCGCGCATCCCATGTCTGGCATGCACTGGGGCGCAATGCGCCCAGCATTACTTCGGCAGTCGCTCGAATCAATGATTCTACAAGTGTTTCGGAAAGAACCTCGATCGCGACATGGGCCCTCGACTATGAACGAAACAACATTACATAGCATCTTTCCGCGTTCGAAATGTTTGCGGCATGCTTAGGTTTACGCGTGCAGTTGATAACCGTTTTCCCCACTTGAGCGATCGCCGAGCCTCCATGACCACCTGGTGCCATCCTCTCGGCATCTGTACGACGCATCATCCTACGTGTTTCATCGCATCGAAACATCCCTGCCCAAGCAATCGCAGCGTAACCATTTAGCTCCAGCAGCGAACTTAGCACGCATTGTACTTGCATCCCTCCAGCGCACAAGCTTCGAGACACATGCCGTCGCCATCAGTAGCCTCTCAGCGTGCACTTTGGAAGGTCCAAGCCTGTCGCGCTCATCAGTCCATGGAATCACTTAAGTTTTTGTGGTGTAAAATGAGCAGGGGCCTCGAAATCCAACTTGTTGGTCAGATTCTTGATGTTCGGCCTCGCAGCGGCGGCAATCGTGATCAGTTGTTCAATGCATTGTGCGATATCGCGCTGCGCTCTCGGCCAGGCTGGGAACGCACCATTGGCTGGGGAATGCCGTTGGGCGTCTGCGCAGCCATCTTCCAACGCCAATGCATCATCGGCTGGGCTGTGCTGTTGAACGTCTGCGCAGCCATCTTCCAAAGCCAATGCTGGCGCCGGACCATGTTGTTGAACGCATGCGCTCGAGCCATCTTCCAAAGCCAGCGCGGGCGCTGGGCGCAGAGGAACAAACAGGGGCCGCCTCATATACTGGCACGTCCACTTCACTAGCGGTTGACACACTCTAAATACTTGGCTCCGTTCGCGGCGCGGGCAACAACATCACGTGCGAGCCCGTCTGCGAACGTGCCCACGCGCCCGATGGGGCGCTCGTCAGAGTCGTGGGCCGCTGCGACCTCGACCGGACCGCCATCGTCAAAGATGTGGGCCGCTGCGACCTCGAACCAAACGAAATCGTCAGAGATGCGGCCTGCTGCGACCTCGAACCACCCGCCGTCGTCAGAGATGTCGCGGTCTGCTGCGACCCGCGCCCAACCGTCATCGTCAGAGATGCGGTCTGCAGCGACCCCGGCCCAACCGCCATCTTCGTCAGAGATGTCGCCTGCTGCGACGTCGGGCAAAGGGCCGCCTGCCTCGGGCGGCAGGCCCGCCATAAGCCTCGAAAGGCTATGGTTAGCAGGAAGGTTGGACAGAGCGGGGGGCATTGAGGTGGCACGAATACTTCAACTGAATATACTGTGTATCGAACGGGAGCGGGCATTGCGTGGAACGGCGGGGGCCCAGACACAGGAGGCCGGGCGACGCAAACAGGGGGCGGGCGGACAAGCAACTGAGGATGCAAATGCGGAGGAGAACGGGATTGCAACGCACGCAAGGGGGGGTGGCACTGGGGAAAAGGGGTGGAAGCGCGCGGGGGGGGGTAATCACCCATCGAGGCTGCGCGCCCACAACTCCTCCAATCCCCTCATCGCCATCGTCTTCATCTGTCTCGATCCTCCCTCCAGGCCCCCGCTCCTCCGTCTGCCCTCGTGTATCTGCGCTACCCGTCCGACTCCATTCCATCGTGTTGATCCCTTCGTCTTCCTCATCGGATTCTCGTCCGCGCGCGTTGCCCGGTTGTCCGCGCCCGTTTTTTTTCTTCTTTCTCTACCCATCCCGCCCGAACCTTCATTGATTCGCCCCCCCCCTCCCTATTCCTCGCAGAACCCCTTCTGTCTTATCCTTCCCCCTCCCTCGCGCCCCCCCTCCTGACCTATGTGCTGCGCCCCTGCCCCTCTTCCCTATCCGCCCTCGGCGCCCCCCCCCCTTCTCTCGGCCCCCCCTCATCCTCCGCCCTCTTCCGTGGCAGGGGCGGGGCGCGCTCGCGAGCCCCGGTCGCCGCGGGCGGCGGCGGGGGCGGCGGCGGCGGCGGGGGGCGGGGGCCAGCGCGGAAAAGGAAACCGAATATGGAAGCAGAGGCGATGGAAACGCGAAGGCGGGGATAGAAGGAGAACGGCGTGGAGAAGAGAGGCGCTCAGAACATTCCACGAGCGATAAGTCTAGCAGAAAGGTAAACTACCCCAGTGCGATCCTACCTGGGAGTTGGAGGATCTAGGCAAGTAACATCTATATCCGAACCGAAAGCTACATCAACATCTACACATGCATCTACACCCAAATCAACATACACAGCGAGACTCCCCTCTACATCTACATATACACCTACATATACACCTACATCTACATCAACATCTACAACAACACCTACATCAACATCTATACTTTCGCATTGGGTTTGTTTTTTTGCTTTGCATTGCCGTGCATGTTTTTTTTTGTTTTGCGTTTGCTTTTGGTGTTGCGTTTGTTTTGATTGTGTTTCTGCTGTTGCTCAATATTGGATTCGGTTTGTCTGCGCACAGACTCGCGCGCGCATGTTTTCGCATTTGCTCACCGGGCGCGAGCTGCGAGCTGCGAGCTGCGAGCTGCGAGACGCGACCCGCGAGCTGCGAAGCGCTGGCCGCTCGCTCGCTCACGGCGCCGGCGCGCGCGCGGCCCCTCGCCCTCGCCGTCGCCGATGTCCCCCCTCTCCGTCGCGCCCCCCCTGTGGTTGTCAGTCGACGACTTCTCCTCCGTCCGCGCGTCCATGAACCGCCATATTGCGTCTGCAGGTTGTGCGGCATTGCAGATTGGATGTTGGATGGCGGAGAGCAACATATTTGCGTTGCCGATGATCTGGAACAAGTACGCGGAGAAAGCGCTTCGTCGGAGCTGGCGCGCTTTCTGCCCGCGCCCCCCGCTGAGCAACCGCTCGTACTTCTGGGCCGTTTCCGTTTTCATCCACGACTTATAATCGTTCATCCACTTCCTGTGGATCTCTTTCACGTGGCGAGGCGTGGAGATCGCGTCGGAGCCCAGGGTTCGCGCGCTGCTCTTCGACGGCCCGCAAGAAATCCTCCAGCTTCTCGGCGATGCGCTGAGCAGCTGCCGCCTCGAAGCGGCCGCCCGACGAGGCTACGAACAGGAAGTGTCTGCCGATCTTCTCGAGCACCGCCCGCAACGCTGCTTCGGCGGAGGCGTCGCTGCCGAAGATGGCGTTCACGCTGGGCGTGGCGGGCCTGCGTGCCACGTTGGAGGAGGCGGCGGGCAGCGCAGCGCTGCTCGGCGGGCTGCGCGTCGCACTCTCGACACCAGGGCGGCGAGCTGAAGTCGCCACCCCAGATGAAGCGATCCCCCGCGCACGCACTGTGGCAAGCAAGGAAGGTGCGCTTGCGCCCCTCCATTGTGAACCCTCGCTTCTTTCGAGGCGGGCGCATGGCAATTGACGATGGACACGGGCTCGTTGTCGTCGTCAACGCGAACGCGGAGGTGCTGGAAGCACCGGCCTGGCTGGTTCTGCACGAAGTCGCCGGCGAGCCTGCACTGAAGGACCGCCATTCGATTGGACTTCACGATCGTCGCGTCGTGTCCGTCAACGTACACACGGACAGGCGGCACCGCACTGTCAGCAAGCAGTTCTTGAATCCAGGCACAGACGTCGCCTCCTCGGATGTTATCGCCGATGCCCTTTCGGATTTCGCCGAGCTCGCGGAGGCAGAGTGTTTCCAGCGCAGGAACTTGGAAAACCCTGGTAATATCCGATGCAAAACGGCGCTCTTTGTTCTTCCAATTTCTCCCACCAACCTCCGACAACTGGACTCCCACGTTGTAGACACCCACTGTCAGCTCGGTCGCGTTGGCAGGTGTTGCAGACAAAATGGGCTGTGCAGCGCCAGTTGATGACGGGGTGGGCTTTGCAGCGCCACCTGGTGCCGAGGCGGGCTGTGCAGAATCGCTGTCGGGGCCTCCACCTGGTGCCGAGGCGGGCTGTGCAGCACCGCTGTCGGGGTCTTTCCCGTTTGGGGACACCGACGCCGTGCTGGCTGCCATAGGTTGCGCCAAAGCAACAAAGGTTGCGGTGGGTTGTGCAGCACCACCTGGTGCCGAGTCGGGCTTCGCAGCATCGTTGTCGCTGTCGGATGAGGACAGAGACACCCTGTGGCTTGGCATGGTTGCAGCCCGGAGCCACAAAGGCTGCGGAACGGTGATGACGAGATGCACATAGCCGGGAGTCTGGACCCGGCCTTGGCCCCGGCTGAGGGAACTCGTCCTTCAAATTGGTACTCTCGCCAGGGTTTCCCTGGAGGGCCTCATGAAGTATCCTGAGAGAGGGCGCCGTGTGAGTCGGGGCCCGTGGCCTCCTGGAGGCTGGGGGGGCTACCAGAACAGGCGCGGAGGATGGAGAGAGGGCGGCGGAGAGGATGAGATAAGCAACGCTAAGCTAAGGTAGCGTCACTGGGGGAACCGCGGAGCGGATCGGGCGGAAGACGGGGAGCAACCCGAGAGAGAGAGAGAGAGAGAGAGAACACGCGCGGGTGCCGAACGGAACCGCGGTGCGCACCCCGAGGACCCCAGCCCGACTGCACACCAAACCCCTCGTATCCGGGTATCCCCCGCTGCCTCCATCGAGCCGAGCATCCGCTACGATGCTCGCCGCATGCCCCGCCTGAGGGCGCGGCACAGCTCTCTCAGCCCAACCGCACCCCGAGACCCATCTGCGCCCGTAGGCGGGGAGGGTCCTTCGGCATGGCCTTCGCCGCGCTCTTCGCGATCTCGGCCTCCACCTCCCGCTCCACCTCCTCCTCCGGGCCGCCACGCAAATCGGGCCGGCCGGCCCGAGGAGGGGAAGGTGCTCAGCAGTGAAGGGGCCCCTAACTCTTTGGGAGCGGACCTAAGGTAAAAAGCCCAAAACATTAGGGATATGGAAGCCATTCCGGCAGATGTATCAAGCCAAACCACCCAGACTGATCACCCCTGATGCAAAAACGGGAACCTCAGTTGGTCTACGTCTGAATTGTGCTATCAGGGTTCGGGGTTCTTGCATTGTCGATGTGGAAGGGAGGGTGAGGGAGGATCGAGGATCAAGCCTCGAGGGTTCGGACGCGCCTGGGCCTCTCAGGACGCCGCAGCGGGATCCGCCTGCGGACCCTGGTCGGAGCGCGCTCCTGGACATGGCAAGTCCGCGGGCGCTCCCCGCAGGTCCGCGGAGGGGTCCGAGAGGACAGCACTCAGGACGGGAGGGTGTGCTGTAGCGACGTTGGCGCGTGTCCTAGGTTCACTCTGGCCCTCCTCCTCCTCTTCCTCCTCCTCCTCCTCCTCCTCCTCCCTCCTCATCCTCGTCCTCCCTCCTCCTCCTCCTCATCCTCCTCCTCCTCCTCCTCCTCCCTCCTCCTCGTCCTCCCTCCTCCTCTATTCCTTGTCCTCATGAAGTACTCCTCCCTGTCACACACCCAGGCCAGTTTTTAGGGCGGACCGGGCGTTTCGCCTGAGATTTCCTCACCACGTATGACCCTGAAGCTGAAAAGCTGGCAACAATTTTACAGATGGAGGGCGGTTCCTTTTCAAACTGTGTCTCTGTTTCGAACAACGCACATTCGTCTCAACAACTTGAAAGAGCTTCACGGATTGAGGGCGGGTGGATTTCCAAATGTGGCTCTCGCCTTAGCGTCGCGCACATACGATTTGTCAAAACATTGCACGGGTGTCACGGATTGGGGGCAGTTCCCTTTCGAAATGTGGTGTTCGCATTAGCGCCGCGCACATCCATTCTAACAAATAGGAGATTCAGGGATTGAGGGCGGATCCTTTTTCAAAATGTGGGTTTCGCCTTAGCTCCGCGTGCACTCTTTTCAAAAACGCTCGAATGCCACGGATTCACATGAACAGCGTATCAACCATTGCTGCTTACAAGAATTCAATGCTATGATGGTCCAACCGATATATTGATTCGCGGAGTTGAAGTCCAAGGAGAGGCGTTCTGGCACGTTTCAGGATCGACAGGACGCAACAGTCAAGTTGATCCGTTGCGTTGGATTTCCGAGAACATTGTTTGGCACGTGTCAGGGTCTTCAAACGGTTACTTTCCAGCGAGGGGGTTCCCTCAGTGAAAATGAACCCTTGCAGGGGGCCTGTGAAGAGGGAGCTTGGAGGAAGGGCTTATTCCAACATCATTGATGACCCTTGGATTTACACTGGCCCTCCTCCTCCTTCTCCTCCTCCTCCTCTTCTTCCTCCTCCCACCGAGCGCCCCCTATCAGCCAAACGGGGAGTACGCAAAGTCGCGCCTGTTTTTTTTTCAGCGCACGGTGGTGGGCAGCATGCAGATATTGTTCGTTTTTGTATACGGCATCACCAGCGTCGGCCAGACAGGTAACATGGAGCTTTTCGCGTCCCTAATCCAGATCCTGCGCGAGTCCTGTCTTCCGTTTGTGGTGGCTGGCGACTGGAATGTGGATTCTGAATGTTTTGGGCGCGATACCTTTCTTCGCGCTCGTTTCTTAGGACACCTACATGCTGAGATCGTCCACGGAGGGCGACCAACTTGCAACGACTCGCACTACGGCTACTACATCGTCAGCGACATCCTGATTCCCTTCATCAGGAGCGTGGGTGTGATCGACGACACTCCTGTGGGCCCCCACAGGGCCGTGGTGCTGCGACTGGCTGGGCTCGGCGGTGCTAACTTCGTGTACCGTAGAGCGCAGCAGGAGAAGTGTTTGATGCCCTCCGCATGGCAAGCTTTCGTGCCTGGCGACGTGTCAGCGTGGCCAGGCTTTGAGATCGAGGAACATGAATCTTTAGACAGCCTTGATCGCAGGTGGTTTTCCTCGGCTGAGCTCTACCTCAGCCTCTACTTGGCCATTCCCGTCGCCGAGAGACCGAGGTTTTGCGGTCGCTCTGCTGGACGCAGGCTCGAAAAAGTCCCCCTGGCCTGCGAATGGGGTAAAAGCCTCCGCCGAAAAGCGAGTCCCACCACCCAGCGCTGGCTTTCAGTCAGACTCCTCACCATGCAATGGCTGAGAGCGGAAGGCAACGAATCCAATCCCCAGTTTGCCCAGCAATCCAGCGCTTTGCGCATGTTAGCGGAGTGTTCGGAGGTTTGGGATGGGCTGGAGTGGGTGGGGGAGGGCGGCACTTCTGTTAATTCGCTCGGTGATTTCCTAACTGGTTTAAGAGATCCTGACAAGCGCGCCCAGGTCTGTGTCTCCAGGACCAGGTGATGTCGCACGCTGCAGCCGATGCGGCCGCCGCCAAGCTGGCTTGGAAAGAATATTCTGAGTCGGCGTTTTCCAACGGGGCCAGCTTGGCCCACAGGTTTTCCAAGGGCCCCAAGGGGGCAACGGCCGCGGACCTGGCCCAAGGTTTGCCTGTGGTTGGGCATGAAGCCCTGCAAGACATGTCAAAAGAATGGTCGAGTCTTTGGGTCGCCGCTGCCAGGTCTGATGAGCCCCACCCTTTGGATTGGGATGTAGCCCAGGCCGAGCCCCTGCCCCCGTTCGCGGTCGGCGATGTGAAGGCGGTGCTCAGCTCACTTAAGAGCAAGACGGCTTTGGGCTGGGACTGCTTCCATCCGGGGTGGGTTGAAAGACTTGCCTCTGTCCTCGTCTCGACCCTCGCGCTCCTCCTCCTCGCGTGGGAAAAGAATCATGAGCTCACAGACGTTTGGCTGACCCTTGTTGTGTTTCTTCCGACGGTGACGGGAGGGGTTAGGCCGATCGGCCTGCTCCCCCTCTTCGCCCGTGCGCGGCCCCGTCTCAGACACCGCGCGGTGGCCCAATGGGAAGCCGCCCTCCCTGGCTCCTTTTTTTTTTTTTTTTTTTTTTTTTTTTTTTTTGTGTGTTCTTCTTCTTCTTCTTCTGGGGTGGGTCCTCGGAGACCTCGCGCGACAAATCGGCGTGGATCCATAATGCGCTTGCCAGCGCAGCCCCGGAGTTTAATTTTGTTAGCGCCAGCGCATTTATTGATCTCGGGAAGTCTCACGAAATGGTGCCGCACTCGGAGTTGCTGTGCGCAGCTCGGGGCACTGGCTTCCCTGTGAATCTTCTGAGGCCACTTTGTGCTTTGTATAGAGGGCCCCGGAGGGCCTCCTACCAGAATTCGACCTCCCACGAGATGTTCGCCAACGGGGCAATCATCGCAGGCTGTTCGTGCGCCACGGGGTTAGCGAAGCTCATGACGGCGGCGGCCCTTCGACGCGCGGGGGTTCGGTGCAGCTCGCTCAGGATTAAACGCTTGATCGGCGATATCAGTTTACATTCGGTCGGAGGCCCGCAGGCGGTTGCCAGGGAGCCCAGTTTCGCTGTCAAGGAGACGGTGGGCCTGCCCCAGGCCCGAGGGCTGCAGCTCTCGTCGGACAAGATGGGCCCCTTGCGCAGTGACGCAGAGACATTCAGCCTGATCGAGGACGCCGCTGCCGATTCATGGCCTGCAGGAGTTCCCTTCCCAGGGCGGGGTCAAGATCATCGGGGCCTCGGGTGCGATGCTGTTGATGGGCGTTATAGGCGTATAGGCACGCAGCTCACTCGTATTCGAGACGCCCTGGCAAAAGGAGACAGGCTCTTGGCTCTCAAAGGTCTTGGCAGGCAACGTTCAGCTGTTCACCGCTCGGGGGTCCTCTCAAAGGCGCTGCGGGGTTGCTCCATCGCAGGTGTGCCCAATAGCAGAATCCAGCAGCTCAGGATGTCCTTCCTAAACGCGGGTGCTCGGTTCAAGCCTGGTTCGTCGGTGGGCCTCTCGTTAATGTGTGCTGAGAACGGGCGACACAACGATCCTTTAGTTATTGCCACGTCCGATGCCATACACACTTACATTGTGATCATGTCCACTGGGTCGATGACGTCCTCTTTGGTCTCGGCGCAAGAGGTTTCAGCGCCCCCATTGTTGGAGGATCCGCAGGCCTGGCTGAAATGCAAGAACCCTATTGCAGCGCTGAAGATCCGCCTTTACAGGATCCGCTGAAGCTGCTGGACCCGTTCACGCTTATTGATGATGAAGGTTTCTCTTGGGATTTGAAGTTCTACTCGGCCAGCTGGATATCTCACATTGTGAAGCTGGGAGTGCGAGGGCAGATTGACCGCGACGCTCTCGCTGCGACGCAGGGTGCGGGCTCAACCAAGACGGGCCCGATCTCTTGGCAGCCGATATCAGAAGCTCTTCACGGAAAGCGTCTCTCGCCTCATCAGCGTCGATCACTTCGTGGCGTGATTACTGGGGGGGGGGGGGGGGGGGGGGGGGGGGGCGTTGGACGCAGGTCAGGATTGCTCGGGCATGTGCTGGACACTCGTCACTATGTACCAGGTGCCAGGCGGCGCCTGGCACGTTGTTCCATCGTTTCTTCGTGTGTGACGCCTTTGCGGCTCAGAGGCGGCCACTCGTTCCCTTGGAGGTTCAGAGGGCAGCGCAGAGGATGCTCAGTGAACTCGAGGATAGACAGGACAGATTCGCGCGCGGTCTGCGACCACACCCAGGGCAGGTATTCCACGGGGCGGGCCGCCCCAGTCAGCACGATATGATTGATGTGGACCGACGCGGGATCATTTCTGTCAACGGCGGGTTTGTGTTTGTGGACGGCAGCGCCTTCTCGACTCGCGTGCCTGAGTTGCGCTCAGCTGGCTGGGCCGTTACGGCGCATGATGCGGAGCGGCGCAGAGTTGCGCGATATCACGGAGCCGTTCCACGGTGCGAAGGGCCCAGTCAAGTGGCCCGCGATGGCGAGGATTATGCGCTCATGAAGGCCAGCCAGCTGGTCATTGGCTCTTATCAAGCCAAGTCAGATTGCAAAGGCTCGGTCGATTGCTGCCACAGACTCGAGGCTGCAAGCGGGCCAGGCAACCTGAGAGCACACGCGTGGAAGCGCACTAAGATGAACGACGATTTCTGCCGAGCTCCTGTTTCGCACGTGAAAACGCACACGAGCATGGCAGACGTCAGGGAAGGAGTCGTCAGCCAGTTCGATCGGGCTGGAATTGCGGGGGCTGGTGAGTTGGCCAAGGCGGGGGCCGCCTTCCATCGAGCTACGGATGTTCAGGAGCGTTTCGTACGTGGCGCCATGTGCCTCCACAAGTTGCTGCTGTGCTACATTGCCCAGTTCGAGGTTTGGTTCCACGAGCAGGGCGAGGAGTTCAAAGATTACCTGTTCCCCGAGCCACAGGAGGACGATCTGGTCACTCCCCAGCAGCAGGCGGCGGCGAAGGAGCCGCTGTTGCCGTGGCCATGGTTGGTGCAAAAGCACGCGCTGCTGGAATACCCAGTGGTTGGTCAAGACCGCTCGCTGATCTTTTGCACCAGCTGCTGCAAGTACTCCGACACAGGCAGCCTCAACCATCGGGGTCTGGACAGCACCTGTTGTGGCAGAATAGGTGGCAGCGGCAGGATTGCCGAAAACACGAGGCACTTCAGCAATCTGAGGCATCCACAGTCGCTGCGCAAAGACATTGCTCTAGAAGACGCTCGGAGACCTTCCGCCAGAGACCGAGCCCTGTTGTGCAAGTCAAAAGGTTGGCGAGACCCCCTAGGGGACATGCCAGAGGTCGACCTGCGGCCCAAAGGCAAATCCCGTGCTGAACCCCAGCGTTATCTGGACACTTATTTGATGTTGAAAGATCATGGTCTCTCATACCCTGAAGCTTTGGAGTTGGGTACTCCATACGAGTCTGACAGTGATGAGGATGTGGACCCAGACATGGTATGATGGTTCGCCACTTATGCCGACGACATTCATGATTCGGTGTGGCGGCCCACAGTGGGTGAGTGCTCCACTTGGACGAAGTTCTGTACTGTATGAGGACTGGGTGCGGCGTTTGATCCTCGCAGTCCTCAGCAACTCGTTCTCTCTTTTCTTGCCAGGGCTAGGCTTGGTTTGGCCATGCCCAGGTGTTATACGATATCGTCGATTGCCGTGCGGCTGGAGCGTGGTGATGTTCAACCACGCCATGCTCGGTTTCCACGGGTACATCTGTGTCGTGGTCTTCTTGTTGCACCACGTGTGCGAGGGCCCCCCGCTCGTGGCGCTGGGAGCCCTGTGGGTGCTCTTCTCCGCCGCGGCGGGCCTCGTGCAGGTGAGCACGGGCCTGCCGCAGGCCCCGTGCACCCTGGCCGCCCGCGCGGCCTGCTGCGGGGTAGGCATGCCCCTCGCCCCCAGCCCTGGTGCTTGCAAGGTGGTCCTGGCCCTCGGGTTCCACCGTGCAGGTGCTGGGGCGGGGGGTTGAGGGGTGTGTCTGCCTCCTCTCTGCCTGGATCCAACTGCCCCTCGGCTTCTGCTCGCTCGCTCGTTTTTCCCCCTCCTCCTCCTCGTCCTCCTCCTCCTCCCGCGCGGGGCGGAGGAGGCGGAAGATGAGGGAGACGACGGCGGCGACGACGGTGACGACCGCGTCGGCCACGGTATCGCCGGCGGAACGCTTTCGGGGAGGGGGAGCGGGAGAAGGCGTAAGAGGAGAAAGAGGGCAGGAGGAAACGCGAACGTGCTGAGACCCTCGTTCGTAGTGGCGCGGGCCCTCAGAGATCTGGATTCCTTCCTGTGGGAGAGGGCCTCTCATCCCGAGTCGTCTCTTGATGGCCCAGGGGCCCAGCCAAGGCCCAGGAGCCGAAAACTGCCAAAAGCCGCCCGCCGTGCATTTGTTCAAGACACGAAAGGTTGTCCCCCACATGCCGCCCACCACGCTCCTGCGCCCGCTCCCGCTTCCGCTTTTCCTCCGTGCTCTTCCTCCTCCTCCTCCTCCTCCGCCTCCTCCTCCTCGTCCTTCTGCTCCTCCTCCTCCTCCTCCTCCTCCTCCTCTTCCTCCTCCTCCTCCTCCTCCTCCGCCGCCTCCTCGATGGGATGGGGAGGACGAAGACGACGAGGGAGAGGACGACGGCGGCAACGGCGACGACGCCCACGGCGGCGGAGGGCCACTGGGTGGCGCCATGGCTGTCTTGCGCGCACGCGCGCCGCTCCTCTAGCCGGCGCTGCTCCTCCGCGGACGTGGCGCGCCCCGGCGCGTCCATGTCCATCTGGTCCTCCCAGAAGGCCAGATCTCCGACGATGTAATCTTTTCCAGCCCCGCATATTTTTTGACGATCTCGGCCTCCAGGACCCAGTTCCGGGCCCCAGGACCACCAATAATGGATCTGGGACAAAAAACTGTCCCTGCAGGCGGGAGGATCGGAAACCCTGGGTGCGCGGATTGGAAAAATCAGATCAGCGGGTGTCAAGGAAAGCCAGCCGCTAAGGAACGTCGTCGATGTCGTGGCCATCTCCGTCGCCGTCGCTGCCGTCGCGGTCGTCGTCGAACTTCCTTCTTCCCCATCCCTCTTCTTCATAGACAACTCCTCCGTGTCGCACCCCGAAACGTGCTGGCTGGGCAAATCCAACGCTTCGCTTGAGACTGCCTCGCCACTTTTGAACCTTCAGCTGAACATGCTGCGAGAGTTTCACGGATGGAGGGCTGGCCGGTTTCCAAACGTGGCTCTCGCCTTCGAGCCGCGCACATTCGTCTCAAAAGTTCGAGAGCTCCACGGATGGAGGGCACGTGGTCCTCAGCGCCGCGCAAGCTCGTTTTTAATTCCCCACATGTTTCGTGGGGTTATGGTTTTCTTCCCTGCCGCGGCGCACCGCACCCGCGTCTCCTCCTCACACCTCCCCTCCTCTCTCTTCCTTCCTCCCCTTACCCGCGCTCAACACATGCACGGCCAGTACATGAGACACGCGTATACATACAACCGCACGCATGCACACACATTCGCACACACAAGACGCATGTTCACTGCATCGTACACCCAGGACGTATGCACAACATACTGGGCACCCACGTGAGACACACGTTCCGATACGGCATACGGCCGCAGACGCATCATACACATACACATGACATGCCATATACAAGACATGCGTGTAGGATTCGCAGTGGATGGCAGGAGGCTCTATGCAGGCCATGGCGAAGGGCACGGCAGGCGCGGCACTTTGTCGTCACCAGAGGGGGTGCGCAGCACATGCGCGACAACAAGAGGCGTTGCACTTTCTCGACGCCACAAGGGGTGCGCTCGGGGTGGTCACCCTATCCGTTTCGGGCTCGCAAAGCGTGGCAGGCGTGGCACTTCCTCGACATCACAGGGGGTACGCGGGGGGTGGTCTCCCTATCCGTTTCGGGCTCGCAAGCCGTGGCGGGCGTGGCACTTCCTCGATACCACAGGGGGTGCGCTGTGGGTGGTCTCCTTATCCGTTTCGGGCCCGCAAAGCGCGGCAGGCGTGGCACTTCCTCGACATCACCGGGGGGGGCGCAGGGGGTGGTTGCCCTGTCCGATTCGGGCTCGCAACGCGTGGCATGCGTGACACTTCCTCGACACCACAGGGGGTGCGCTGGGGGTGGTCTCCCTGTCCGTTTCGGGCTCGCAAAGCGCTGCAGGCGTGGCATTTCCTCGACACCACAGGGGGTTCGCGGGAGGTGGTCTCCCTATCCGCTTCGGGCTCGCAAGCCGTGGCGGGCGTGGCATTTCGTCGGTACCACAGGGGGTGCGTTGGGGGTGGTCTCCCTATCCGCTTCGGGATCGCAAAGAAAGGCACGCGTGGCACTTCCTCGACACCCACAGGGGGGGCGCTGGAGGTGGTCTCCCTATCCGCTTCGGGCTCGCAACGCGTGGCCGGCGTGGCATTTCCTCGACACCACGGGGGGTGCGCTGGGTGTGGTTGCCCTGTCCGTTTCGGGCTCAATTCCTCGACGCCACAAGGGGTGCGCTGGGGGTGGTTGCCCTATCCGCTTCGGGCTCGCAAAGCGTGGCACGCGTGGCACTTCCTCGACGCCACAAAGGGGTGCGCTGGGGGTGGTCTCCCTATCCCTTTCGAGCTCGCAAAGCGTGGCAGGCCTGGCACTTCCTCGATACCATAGGGGGTGCGCTGGAGGTGGTCTCCCTATCCTTTTCGGGCTCGCAAAACGCGGCAGGCGTGGCACTTCCTCGACACCACAATGGGGGTGCGCCGGGGGTGGCCTCCCCATCCATTTCGGGCTCGCAAAGCGTGGCAGGCGTGGCACTTCCTCGACGCCACAGGGGCTGCGCTGGGGGTGGTCTCCCTATCCTTTTCGGGCTCGCAAGGCGTGGCGGGCATGGCACTTCCTCGACGCCACAGGGGCTGCGCTGTGGGTGGTCTCCTTATCCGTTTCGGGCTCGCAAAGCGCGGCAGGCGTGGCACTTCCTCGACGCCACAGGGGCTGCGCTGGGGGTGGTCACCCTATCCATTTCGGTCTCGCAAAGCGTGGCAGGCGTTGCACTTCCTCGACACCACAATGGGGGTGCGCTGGGGGTGGTCTCCCTATCCGCTTCGGTCTTGCAAAGCGTGGCAAGCGTTGCACTTCCTTGACAACACAGGGGGTGCGCTGGGGGTGGTCTCCCTAACCGCTTCGGGCTCGCAACGCGTGGCCGGCGTGGCATTTCCTCGACACCATAAAAGGGGGTGCGCTGGGGGTGGTTGCCCTGTCCGTTTCGGGCTCGCAAAGCGCGGCAGGCGTGGCATTTCCTCGACACCACAAAAAGGGGTGCGCTGGGGGTGGTCTCCCTAACCGTTTCGGGTTCGCAACGCGTGGCAGGCGTGGCACTTCCTCGACATCACCGGGGGTGGCCTCCCCATCCATTTCGGGCTCGCAAAGCGTGGCAAGCGTTGCCACTTCCTCGACGCCACAGGGGCTGCGCTGGGGATGGTCTCCCTATCCGCTTCGGGCTCGCACAGCGCGGCAGGCGTGGCACTTCCTCGACACCATAGGGGGTGCGCTGGGGGTGGTCTCCCTATCCGTTTCGGGCTCGCAAAGCGCGGCAGGCGTGGCACTTCCTCGACACCACAAAGGGGTGCGCTGGGGGTGGTTGCCCTATCCGTTTCGGGCTCGCAAAGCGCGGCACGCGTGGCACTTCCTCGACGCCACAAGGGCTGCGCTGGGGGTGGTCTCCCTATCCGTTTCGGGCTCGCAAAGCGCGGCAGGCGTGGCACTTCCTCGACACCACAGCGGGTGCGTTGGGGGTGGTCTCCCTGTCCGTTTCGGGCTCGCAAAGCGTGGCAGGCGTGGCACTTCCTCGACACCATAAAAAAGAGGTCGCTGGGGGTGGTTGCCCTATCCGTTTCGGGTTCGCAAAGCGTGGCAGGCGTGGCACTTCCTCGACACCATAGGGGGTGCGCTGGGGGTGGTCCCTCACCTCGGCCGCTATGCACGACGGTCGTCCAGGGCATAGCAGGCGTGGCACTTCCTCGACACCATAGGGGGTGCGCTGGGGGTGGTCCCTCACCTCGGCCGCTACGCACGACGGTCGTCCAGGGCATAGCATGCGTGGCATTTTCTCGACGCCAGAAGGGGTGCGCAAGGGGTGGTTCCTCACCGCGGCCGCTATGCGCCCCGGTCTTTCAGGGCATAGCAAGCGTGGCACTTTCTCGACACCATGGAGGGTGCGCAGGGGGTGGTTCCTCACCGCGGCCACTATGCACGACGGTCGTCCGGGGCATAGCAAGCGTGGCGATTTCTCGACGCCACACGGGGTGCGCAGGGGGTGGTCCCTCACCGCGGCCGCTATGCGCGCTGGTCGTCCAGGTCAGCGGATTCGCAAAGTGTGGCTGGCGCGGCGCTTCTCCTCTTCCACCTCTCCTCTTGAGTGGCGTCACCAACGGTATCGGCGGGACAACGGCCACCAACATCATTATCACATGCTTCACTTCAGCTATTATCACTCCAGCCATAATATAAGTATGTGGGGTTCCTCGGTAGCGTAATCAACTGTTTGCGGGATGCTCGAGGATGGTTATGGTGTTTTGGCACGATGTAGAACTGCCAAGGCGCGACAATTACGTTGATTCGCGGAGTTTGAAATCACAGGAATGGTTCCGTTGCGAGTCAAGATCGCCAGGACGCACCAAGAACGTTGATTCGCGGCGTTGAAGTCCAAGGAGTGATGCTCTGGCACGGTTCAGGGTTTTCAAACGATTGTCTTCCAACGGGGCAGTTCCCTCAGTGAAAATGAACCCTTGTAGGGACCCCTGAAGAATGAGCTTGGAGGGTTTATTACAGCACCGTTGATGATATTGGATTTGCACAGGTCCTCCTCCTCCTCCCCCTCCTCCCCCTCCTCCTCCTGCTCCTCCTCCCCTTCCTCCTCCTCCTCCTCCTCCTCGTCCTCGTCCTCCTCCTGTGGGGCATGATCCGCATGAGAGGGGGTCGCAGGTGCAAAGGCCGTGGCTGGAGCTCCATGTCGGGCAAGATCCGCGTGAAGGCCCCATCCGTGTGAGAACGTGCCCCCTTCTGGAGGTGGGTCGTTTGGCATGCCTGGGCAAACCTTGACAAGGTAAGACAAGCGGGCCTGGCAGGTCGGGCGGCCCCTCACGGGCGGGCCGGGCGGGCAGACCCCCACGGGCGACCCTCGTCACCGAGCGATGACCCCCATCGACAGCGGAGCGAGACTCACGCCAGCACGCAATCCCGAATCGCGATGCGAGGCGCTCCCCCAGGTCGTGGGGCGATACGCCCGCCAAAACCAGTCACGGAGCGAGACCCCCGCGGATGCGGAGCACGGCACGACGCCTCTCCCCTTTTGACAGGGTGGCCGCACGGGAGGAGAGGCGAGGAGGGGAGCTCCTCATAGTGCGGATGCGAATGTCACTGCACCGACCTCGCAGACGTACTGCAGCGGATTGTTGAATGGATTGCTGCCAGTGCAAACCTCTGAAACGGCGAGCGAAGAACAAAGTGAATTTCTCGCTGATTCTTTTTAGTCTTCAGGCCCCCCAGAATACTCACGAAATTCACTTCGAACTCGGGCACGAAATTCTCCAAGACATTCCAGGCCCATCCGATTATTTTCCGAACGAAATCCGGTTTGCGACATTGGCGCCACGACGAATGGAATGCGGGGGGGGGGGGGGCCGGATCCAGGAAAAGCGAACGCGTACATGGGCAAGCGACAAACCAGAATCGAAGCCCTGAACCCCGCCCTTCTGCTGCACCTGTCGAACCAGATCGGCCTGTGGTGGGCCCGGGGCCAGAGACAAT